AGTGTGATCAACAATCTGAATAAATCCAGCACGCTCAAACTCTCGGTCATGATGACTTGTGACTTTGTGCTAGTACAGCCATCAGTGACCCCCAAGGATTCTGTCTACCCAGTTTCACTCACAAGGCTACATTAGTACTTTTCAAATGCATTACCTAATGCATACATACATTCTGGAAGAAGATGAAAACAGTCTTTCAGGTTTTCTTTATTTTCAAGTATAAGCCTGGATTTCTTTAAATGTATAATCAAAAGTTTGCCTTCTTGTTGCTCTGCAATTGTTGAAAATGAAGGTGATTACATTTCAGATATATAATATTTAAATAAATTTAATTTATGTTTGTTTTATATTCTTTCTGTTAGAGTATAATTACTTTCTGTTGTAGCATACCTACGGATGATAATAGGTATGTATCCATTTACATAAATACAGTAGTAAATACTGTATGTTGGTCTGCAGTTGGAGATTCATCATGGAATTCACTTAACTCACTTCTAGCAGTTGACGATTTCTTCTATGTGCCGGTGAATCTTATATGTGTTGTTCTTTTCCTAAGTATTATCGGTCATTATTAACCTTCATTTAATTATTCGATTCTGTAACCCTTCCTAGGTTACAACACTTTCTGAACACCCTATAGTCAGTTTTGGAATTTTTAGTTTTTTCTTTGAAACCTGGATGCTTCCTACTTAGTTTGTGTAAACAAATATTTGATGCTGGACAAAAAGCAAACCGATACATGAATGAGATTAAAAACATTTTTAAAAAGTCAGAGAAAAGGAAGAGAAAAAAGAAAGATAGGCAGTTAAATAGGTGATGATAAAATGGAAGATTTATATATAATGTTTTTTATCTTTCAAAAGGACTTCATCAGACTAAAATAATGTTGTGAATGATGGAATTACATACCATATTTTCTTGTGCATTAAAAGAAATTTTGAACAAAAATACAAGAAATACAAGAAATTTTGAACAAAAATTTAAAGGCAGAAAAGTTGGGTTGTAACCTACACAAGTTCAAGTTTTTAAATTAATAAAACTTTTTATTTGAAAGAGCAAAAATTGCAGATACATACAGTTATCCCAATACATAATAAAATGCAAAGCAGGCAGATTGAGTAATGGTTAACACTTTGGATTGAGTAATTGGAAAGCTGAGTTCAAATTACAGCTGAGTTTTAAATTACAGCTGAGTTCATTACATTCACTTATGTGCTAATACCCTTGGCAATAGCATGAATCCATTTCTTCTCCCCACTGAGCTATGGGTAAATAGCACAACAGACTGGATCCTATAGCCTTGGATGGCCACCAGTCTAGGAGAAAGAAAACTAAATTCAAACTAGTCTGGAGAGGATTGGGTTCCATCAGGCTATCTTGCCCAGGAAAGACCACTTCTGCTGTGGCTGCAGTACATGGGTTGCCTCTACAAACCATAATGGGTTACAGGACTTGTGATCATGAGGCAGGTATTCATAAGAATTGTTTACAAAAGGTATCTGATATATTCACAATATTTGTTCTTTGGAAATCAGCATGATTGAACATCTTTACATATTGTTGTAACCTAGAGAAGGTTACTTAATAGCATAATCAAACGAAGGTTGGTAAAGAATGATAATACTTAGAACAAGAACAACACATATAAGATTCACCAGTGGCATGTAGAAGAAGTAGTCAACTGCTAGAAGTGAGTCAAGTGAATTCCACAATTAATCTCCAACTGCAGCCCAACATACAGTACTTACTACTGTATTTATGCGAATGGGGATATATCCATTATCATCTATAGGTATGCTACAACACACACACACACACACACATATATATATATATATATATATATATATATATATATATATATATAGGGATGACTGTATTACGGAATTGTATTGTATTCAAGGATGTAATTAATTTTTTGATTTTAGCTTCAGAAACATGGGGTCGTATTATACTCAAATCATATTATGGACAAGAAAATATAGAATATATGGAGATGACAAAGATAAAAAGAAAATGTCTGTTATAATTATACATCGAGAGAAATTTTGAAATTTAAATTAAAATTTCAAATTTCTGGCATCCAATGTGTCTTGACATACAAAGTAGTTGACATCATTCAGTTTTCCAAAACTGTCATTGTTTTTCTTTTCTCTGTTGTTTTGAAATATCTGACATTGTAATAACAGTTGTTTTATTAAGTAATATGAAATGTTGTATGAACCTAGGCACAAAGTTTTGTTTACAATAAATTTCACCCTGTACAATGCCCAAGGGGCCACTCAAAGTAGAGGGTTGCATTAAGAGACAGTTTATATGGATAGGAGGGGAAGATAATGGTTAACTCTAGACAGGTTGTTGCAATCAGGGAGACATCCTCTTGGAAGTCTGTTCCACAGAGCAGTGGTTTGCAGGAAGAAACTATTTGAATGGAATGAAGAGAAAGTGGATGGTTTGCTATAATGTAAATGGCATGGCATGTTCTAACCAGAAAGGTTAGACCTGGCAGAACCAAGGAATATGGTTCAGCTGAGCACTTTCCAGTGAGAAGCTCACCAAAAAAAATTCGAGTAAATGTTCTGTTTAAAAAATAAACAGACCATCTACTCAAATATGGTATCCACTAAAAATAACATTCAAAGTGATATAAATCTGTTGGATTAATAAATAGAAAAAAATCCATGACTTCTTTAGAAATTACTTTGTTTACATTCAGATATGAAACTGAGCAGATATGAACTTCTGAGTATCTGAGATGAGAAAGGTTTGTGCTTATAATGCACTATTTGGCCTTGTTTGATCGGTCACATCATTCGAGGCTGAGTCATCTAAAGCATGTTGTATCTAACAACAGTTTGAATCCTACTGGATAGCATCTTTTTCTTTGATAATATTTCTTAAATATTCAGGCCAGTAAACAAACTCAAATGTGGGTCTCCATTAAAAGTAATGTTTAAAATGATAAAAATGACTCCATCAATAAGATAATAATTAGCATGATGACGTCCTTTGGATGGATGAAATGAATGACAGGAATTTTATCCATTTTGTCATTCAATTACCCATCATAAGTTTGATATATAAAGTTTATATAATATAGTCTCCCAGAAAAAATGAGATAACAAAAAAGAACATTTGCTGAACCAAAATAGTTAAATAGTTGGCTACTAATCTATAACTAATATTGCTGACATTAACTGCACACCCTTTCTTCTATCAAATATATTCTCCATCACTATGTGCCCATGTCCTATATGGATGAGGGCAATAATAACTCTTCACTATGTCCTGTCTTTTCTTTCTCTTAATAATCCTTGCTTCTTTATCCTCCCCCTCTATTTTACTAAGCATTTTCTGCAATTAATCAAGTATGCTACTCATTACATTCACTTACATGCTAATAACCTTGGGAAAGGTATGAATCCTCTTCTTCTCCCCCCCCCCAGCTATAGATAAATAACAGGACAGACTGGGTTCTACAGCCTTGGATGGCAACTGGTCTACTGCAGAAAGAAATGGCAACCTTTTTTTTTTTGCAGGAAAAAATTTGCCTCATCAGTCATGTACTGAAAGATACGTGATTGCCTAAGCGTGTATCACGCATGACATATAACTGACTACTCAATGTTTTTCTTTTGCTTTCAATGTGCCCTGTGAGTGTTAAATTCTCCAAGCCTTCTTTTCTAATTATGTATCCACTAAATTTCAGCTATCTCTTTCTGTTTGTTAACAGAAATTTAATTTCAAACAACATTTCTTGCCAACTCTGTCCACTGGATTCTCAACATTCAACAAAGACAATTACATCTTTTCATCTGTAGGGAATTTGTACTGCATTCACTGTCACTTATGAAATTAGATATTACATTGTAGGGCTACAGACATATTTTGGTTTCCAAGAAAATTTTTCAATGCCTTTAAAATTTTGGATCAGCCAATATAAACAACAGGTGCATATTACAATGTTGACTTTAGGTTCAAATTCTACATTATTTTGATAGAATTTCCTTTTTTCAATAAATTGAAAGCCTACTCAGCTCACATCCTGAAAGCAAACACCAGACACACATATACACATACAGCAAATAAGCAAATAAAGGAAATACCTGGATCAGTTTCTGAAAAACATTTTTTCTATTCATATACCATTAAATTTGTGTATCCCATTTTCCCTTGTCTGTCACTACATTCAAATAGTAACATTTCCACATTTGATTCTTACATCCCTGATGTGTAAGTTTATGCTTGGGTTGTCCTTTTTGTTGACAACCATACATTCAGGCTTCTTGAAGATAATAGTTAATTCTTTCTTTCTTCTTGTTTTCATTGATTCCAAACTCAGAATCTGAACTCAGTTCACTGATTCCTTTTCCCATGCGATTACTGCATCTGGTTTTGTGCCGCTGCTATACATTTAGAGATCCTTGATAAAATCAAAAGAAGAAGCTGCAATGTTATTGGTCTTGACCTGTCATCTCAGATTCAATCACATTCCTACCACCGTAATGTAGTTTCCCTGTGGTTTTCTATAAATACGTTAATAGTAATTGCTTCATGGAACTTTCCTCTTTGGTACCTAGACTCTATGAATTTAAGCACAGTACTAGATTGGCAGCAAGGTGTCATCATTTTACAATGGAAATGGCTAAGATGGAACCATAAGTTCTATATTAACAGTTTCTTCTATCACATTTCTCACTTGTGGAACTCTGTTCTGGCTTCTTAGATTCCAGTCAACTTTGATGTTTAAAAACTTAAATGTAAATGGAAACAGTACATAAAAGATAAAGAATGCTCAAGATTTTTTTTGGAGATAATAATGTTTTAGTGATACAAGACTTACTAATTAACCCATATCTGGTGGAGGGGAGGTGGATTCATACATTTCCCAAGGGTATTTGTGCATAAGCAAACATAATGAACCCAAGAGGTATTAGAACTTGGCTCTCCAATTAACAATTCTGAGCTATTATTCATTACATCACCTGCACATCCAAGTTAACAGCACCTTTTATTCCCAATTAGTCACCCATCTAGATACTGACCAGGCTCGAGTTTGCTTAACTTTGGTGATTGTATGGGAAATGGTGTTTCAACGTGATGTAGCCATAAGCTTTTACCATTCAAATCACTTCTCATACATCAAAAAAAAAAAATGGTTAATATTAACCCTCTACCTTGAGTGCCTTGTGAGGCTTATATTGGATGAACTTCAGTATAAGAAAATGTTGCATGACTATTGTCAGCAACAAAAAAGTGGTTTGACTCAAACTAATGACAACCAGGATTTACTGACATAACAATATGACAACAAGAAAGACGTAATATGATAAATGGAGGAAGTATCTGTCTATATTTCTATTTGAGATGAGGTATTATGTACACTATTTACATTATTCAGACTATTGTCCCAATTTTTGTCGCCATATTTATTATAATGTCAAACTGAACCCTTTATTTTGCTCAAAGCTTTGAGCAAAATAAAGGGTTCATTTCGACATTCCAACCACCTGCAAAAGGCCGGAGCATACAATGGCCGAAACGTTGCAATAAATATGGCGACAACGATGAGGACAATAGTCCAAATAATGTAAATAATATAAATGGAGGGAGGATAAAATTTATATTTAAAAAATGACAAGAGAAAATATATTTTGAAAGGAAGTATTTGTTTGTGCATTGCTGTTTTCCAGCCGAACAGATAAGGAAATAAAAGCAAATGATAAGCTAAATCTTGACAGGCTTCTCACAAAACGAACTGGTGTAATTTTGGGTAATGCTGGCCATGTTTAGATTAAGCAGTATTTTATAGTCTATTGTAAATTCATTTCCCACCAATTGTGCTGTTGAATGAATATACCCAGTTCAATTCTGCTAGCCTGATTACCAATTTGTCTCATGTCTGTGAAAGTAATATCATAAATTGGACCTCCCATGATGCATCAGTATACTGAGCAGGTTTAGCAAAGTCAAGATAAACAAGAGTGTAATGATTAACATTATTGATATTGATCATATTATCACCATTGTCATTGTCGTCATTATACGCTACAGTTGTTATCATTATTATTTATACTTTATGCATTTGCATATTCATACCAGATGTTTGGTGTTTATCTCTGAAGATTAAGTGACAGCAAGCCTCTTCAAATCACCAGAATCTTATTTATTATTGGGTTGGGGCATAATTATCATAAATTTTTAAACAATATTTATTATAAACATTTTTTTATTCCTCCAGAGTGTATGATTATTGAGGTGCATTTTTATAACCTTCAAATAAAATAATATTTTTATTAAAAAAGTAAACAAAACAGCAATTTTTATTAACAAATAACTCGCCTACAAAAACGCCTGATAATTATGCACCAACCCAATATATTCTATGCCTTTATATATTTATTCCTGGTGTTTATTTATCAGACATTGAGTGACAGTAAATCTTTGCAAACTCTTAAAAGTTTACTCACTGTAAGATTTTGCATATTTACACCTGATGTTTATCAAATCTCCAGTATTTTCCTTATTATGCACCATGCATTTGCATGTTTATATCTAGTGTATATTTCTGGACACTAAATGACAGTACGTTTTCTCTAGTTTCTTTGGGCTTCATTATTATTATGTCCATGCATGTTTACACCTGGTGTATATTTCTAGAGATTAAGGGACAGCAAGTCTTTTCAAATCTCCAGCACTTTCTTTATGATTATATTCCAGGCATCTGCATATTTAAATATGGTGTTTAGCAGTTGAAAATTGAGTGAAAGTAAGTCTTCTAAAATTTCCAGCAACTTCCTTATTATTAGTATGCTCCATAAATTTGCATAGTACTTATTTCTGAAGACTGAGTGAAAGCAAATCATATCAAATCTACAACACCTTGCCTATTATTATTATAAGTTCCATGCAGTTGCATGTTTACATATGGTGTTTTTCAAAAGATTGAGTGAGAGTAAATCTTCCCAAATTTCCAGCATATTAGTTATTGTCATATTCCCTAAATTTGCATGTTTACACCTGGTGTATATTTATGTAGATTAAGTAAAAAAATGTCTTCTCAAAATTTCAAGCATATCATTATATTCCCTAAATTTGCATGTTTACACCTGGTGTATATTTTTATAGATTAAGTAACAAAATGTCTTCTCAAAATTTCCAGCATATCACTATATTCCCTAAATTTGCATGTTTACACCTGGTGTATATTTTTGTAGATTAAGTAACATGTCTCCTCAAAATTTCCAGCATATCATTATATTCCCTAAATTTGCATGTTTACACCTGGTATATATTTTTGTAGATTAAGTAACAACATGTCTTCTCAAAATTTCCAGCATATCATTATTTTCCCTAAATTTGTAAGCTTACACCTGGTATATATTTTTGTAGATTAAGTAACATGTCTTCTCAAAATTTCCAGCATATCATTATATTCCCTAAATTTGCATGTTTACACCTGGTATATATTTTTGTAGATTAAGTAACATGTCTTCTCAAAATTTCCAGCATATCATTATATTCCCTAAATTTGCATGCTTACACCTGGTGTATATTTGTGTAGATTAAGTAAAAGCATGTTTTCTAAAATTTCCGGAACCTTCCTTTTTATTATATTCCCCAGATTTGTATGTTTACACCTGGTGTATATTTCTGTAGATTAAGTAACAGCTTGTATTTCAAATTTCCGGCACCTTCCTTATTATTATTATGTACCATGCATTTTCAAGTTTACACTTGGTGTTTTTCTTTGGAGATTGAATGACAAGTCTCCTCAAGTCCCCAGGTCCTTCCTTATGGTGTTCCATATATTTTCATCTTTGCATCTGATGTATATCTTTGAAAACTAAGTGACAGCAACTTTTCTCAAATTCCTGGCTCTTATCAGAGAGCCAAGTTCAAATTACAGTCAGGATTGTTATATTCATTTATGTGCAAATAACATTGGGAAAGGTATGAGTCTACCTCTTGTCCCCAAGCTCAATTTAATATTCACTTGAAAAAAAAAAAGAAAGGATTATTCAATCTAAAAATGTGTTTCAGCTTAAAATAACCTACAAAAGGTTGATAAGTCATAAAAAACATATAAATCGATCACTAAAATAACAAATTTTCTTTAAATGCAAGTCCCTAACAGCTCTTTTACTCTCTATTTCTGTTATACCCCTCACTTATATTCTCTTAACCTACTAAAATTCCTCTCGATTTCCGCTTTAATTTTTATAAAAAAATTGAAAAACCAACACGATCTTTGCTCTTATATAAATACTTATTATAAAATAAAATCCTTGCATTTGTCTTGATAAAATCCCTCAGAGAACAAAACGAATCATCTAAAATAAGTTTTCTTTTTATCTTTGTTCATATTGTTTTTTTACAGATGAACTCTATCTGAAAGTTTTACATATATATATATATATATATATATATATATATATATATATATATCAAACATTCATAAAAACTTTCAATTTGTTTGGAACAAATTGAAAAAATTAGAAATATTATTTAAAACCAGAACCCCCTGAAGAACAGAAATTTTACCAAGAAACTTTGAAGGTGGGAAAAATTGATATTTAAAAGTTAAATAATCTTTTTATTTAATATCTTTAACACTCTATTTTTAATATTATTTTAATATTTTTAATATTGAGCACTATATATAAAAATATCTACTGTTTCTTAAATGTTATATATTTATATATATATATATATATTTTAAGAATAAATGGATTTATTTTTAATCCAACATTTTTATTAATTCAAACAGTATTATAGTAGACAATTCTTATTTATTAAACAGTGTGTATTATGGCTATCTGCCAGCCTGTCCATTCAAGAAACATTCATAATGATGACACATTTTCTTTTAGATTTCTAGAATGCACAGAGCAGGCAGACAGCCATAATACACACTGTTTAATAAATCTTAATGGGGAATCTATTTTAAATAAGAAGTGTCCATTATAATAACTTTTGAAGTAATGTATATTGAGGGTAGATCATAGTTCTGATATGTAGTTATTAGATGAATCTTAATCTGAAATTTTCAGTGTATAATGTTTTATAAGCCTGCTTAATATCAACCACTGAATGAAGTGCATTAACAAGAATGAAGATTATACTGAAAAATAAATATTTGTGGCCTAAAATAAATGCGTTTTTACCAAAAGGACTTACTGATATAACTCTCTCTCTCTCTCTCTCTCTCTCTATATATATATATATATATATATATATATATATATTATTTGTGGGTGTGTGTGGATATGGGTGTGGGTGTAATTTTATTTTTACATATGTACTTCTTTTGTCAGTAAATCTTTCAGTGGTCAAAAGAAAAAAGAAAGATTAGATTATTTTCACCCAATTTTGCTCGACCCAGAACGGAAGTGAGTGTCGTTGGAATTAGGAGTGAAGGATGATGGGTGGAAAAGAAAAGATGCTTCTCTCTAAGAATGTGAGGGGAAAACCAAATTTTTGAATACGAGGTCCAGTGAGTGGACAGAGCAAGGCTATGCAAGAAAATAAATAATAATAATAATAATAATAATGATAAAATAATGAAATAAAAAAAGCAAATAAAAAAAAACAAAAAAAGTGCAAAATAAAAGAAAGGAATAGGTAAAAAGTAATTTTCCAGGCTCAAATGATTGAAAAGGTAGCAAGAATATCCTTTGTGGTCTGAAACCTTTTTCCGGACACTAATATCTTTCATTTCCCTTTCTGGCCTGAAATACTCCTCCCCTGCAATGAACAAAAGAGTAGCCATGGTGGGTCTGGGCCTTCCCTTTCATAGCAGAAATAAATATGATGAAGAAGATCAATTGTGTTTCATTGAAGCAACGTTTAAACAGATTTTTGTCTTCTATAAAAACCTCAAGGGTTAGCAAAAAGTTAGTGGGACTCACATTTTATACTTTTATACATACATACATATATATAATGTTACATATGTTCATAGATATTTCAGTACCTCTATGTATTATACATATGGATATGCATGTATGCAGTCATATATGTAAAATATACATAAACATATATTCACACTAATCTATATGCAAAGTTTTAAATGTATATATATATATATATATATATATATATATATTG